ATTCCTCTGCAGCTTGTCGGATCATTGAAGCATTCAAATTCCACCACTCTTCAACTCCCTCCTCAACTCTATCTGCTCCAGCACTCTCTCCCTGAACAAACTTCTCTGGTCTTCGTCTTTCAAATTCCACCACTTAATCTTAGGTATTGCCCTTTTCTTTCCTTTCCTCCCTCTTTTAATGTTAAACTCCCCAATAATCAGGTGATGTTGTTTGGCAGCTGTTTCTCCCTTAATTACCTTAAAATTTCTGACTTCATCATTTTACTTCTCTTGTATAATATGTAGTCCAATTGTGTTTCCTGTCCTCCACTTTCATATGTATTGTAATCCTTCTTTTGAAGAACGTGTTCAATATAGCCAGATCGTATGCCACTGCGAAGTCAATTAGCCGTTCTCCGTTGGGATTTACAGCCCCGCTCCCATATCTACCATGGACACGCTCTATTGCCAAGTTTCTCTCTCCACGTGACCATTGAAATCGCCAGCAATCAAGGCTGTTTCAACATCCGGTATCTCTGTGCACATACTATCTAGGTCTTGCCAAAATTTGTCTTTCTCTTCATCATCGCAGCCTACTTGTGGTGCATATACACTCATTATATTAATGATTGTATTTCCGATAATTAGTTTAATCAACATTATTCGGTCCTTCTTTCTCCAGACACTGATGACGTTTTCTTTATGATTGGGACTCAGGATTATTCCAACTCCATTCCTTCCTCTTCCATCTGCTCCACTGTAGAAAAGCTTAAAGCCTCTCCCCAGCTCTCGGGCCTTATTCCCCCTCCATCGTGTTTCCTGTAGGCAAAGTACCTCCAACTTTCTTCTCTCCATGAGATCCACAACCTCCCTCCCCTTTCCTGACATTGTGCCAACATTAAGGCTGCCGACTTTAACGGCTTGAATTTGAGTGGAGTTAGGCATTTCACCTCTCCCTGCAAAACCGGATATTCTTAGCACCCTCTGCCCATTTAAGGGCTGCCGGGGACTGAGGGCCAATATTCTTTCAGCTTCTGTCATGTTGGTTTGGAGCGGTTTTTATTTTACGCCGCGGATGCCCTTCCCGTCCAGCAACACTCTGCATTTATCCGGGCTTGTGACCGGCACTCAGTTGGGCTGGCTTGCCCCCCAAGTGGCTGCATTATTATTATCATTATTGTTATTATCATTAATACTATTTTTACCATTATCGTTATTTTAATGATTATCATCATGATAATGATAGCAACAAAAATAATAGTGATAACAATGTTAATGATAACAATGATAAAAATGATAATTATAATGGTAGTAATGAAAATAATAATATTAATGATAATAATGGTAATAATGATAATAATGATAATGATAATAATAATGATGATAATGATGATATTAATGCTAATAATGATAATAATAATGATAACAATGATTGTAATAATGATAATAGTAAGGATAATAATGATAATAGTAATAACGAAAATAATGATAATGAGGATAATAAAAGCAACAACAATAATCATAGAAATTACAATAATGATGATAATAACAATAATAGTAATATTGATAATGATGATAATATTGATGATACTAATAATGTTAATGATAAGAATAAGAACAATAGTAATGATAATAACGATAACAATGATAATAGTAATATTAATTATACTATTATCACTACTACTACTACTACTAACATAAATGATAATGATTATGATTATGATAATAACAATAATAATCATGATTGCAATTACGATAAATAGTATATAGTATAGGTAATTATAAAGATGATAATGATCACAAGACCACCACCAACAACAATGATAATAATTTTGACAATGATAATAATAATAACAATATTAATTAAACTAATAATAATAATAGTAGTAGTAGTAGTAGTAGTAGTAGTAGTAGTAGTAGTAGTAGTAATAATAATGATAATAATAATAATAATGATAATAATAATAATAATAATAATAATAATAATAATAATAATGATAAAATAATATAATAATAATAATAATAATAATAATAATAATAATAATAATAATAATAATAATGATAATAATAATAATAATAGTAATAATAATGATAATAATAATAATAATAATAATAATAATAATAATAATAATAATAATAATAATTATTATATTATTATAATATAATAATAAATGATAATAGTTAGTAAAAGAATAATGATAACGATAATGATAATGATAATGATAATAATAATGATAATAACAATAATGATTATGATAATAATGATGATAATAAAAGTAATGATAATGATATTTATAATGATAGTAATGATAATAGTAATAATAATGACTGCAATAATAACAACAACAACAATAAGAAAATATTTATGATATTGATAATGATAATGAAAATAATAATCATATTGGCAATGATGATAAATTGATAATAATTACAATAACAATGATTAATTAAGATTGTTACATAAATATTAATATAATTAATCATGGTAATAATGATAACAATAGTGGCTTTAATAATGATGATGATAATAATAATAATGACAATGATAACAAAAAAATTATATTAAAAGTAATGATAATGATAGGTACAATGATAATGACGAAAATAATATAATAATGATAATCATAAAAAAATAATTGATAATGATAATAACAATAATGAAAAGAATAACGATAATTATGTTAATAATGATAATGATAATAATAGTAATGATAATGATGGTAATGATAATGATAATAAAAAAATATTGATAATGATGATTACAAAAAAAAGATAATGATGATGATAATAATAATGATGATAATAATAACAATAATGATAACAACAACAGCAACAATAACAACAGCAATAATAATAATAAAGATAATAATAATAATGATAATGATAATAATAATTATAATAATAATAATAATGATAATAATAACACAAAAAATAATAATAGAATAATAATGATAATCAGGCTAATAACAACAGCAATGACAAAAATGATAGCAACAAAAAATATAAAGATAGTAATAATTAAAAACAATATCAACAACAATGATAATGATAATGATAACTAAATCAATAATGGTGATTGATTGATAATAATTGTTCCTTCTCTTGACAAGTTTTTGAGTTCATTTAATTTGTTTTTGATTTTTTTTTCTCCTCTTTCCTTCTTTGTGTGTATGATTCACATTTTTTTAGTGTGGTTCTCTATATGGCTTACTATAATAATGATAATAATAATGATGATGATAATGCAAATTATAATGATACTAATGATGATAATGATAATAAAGATGATGATAATAATTATAGCAATAACAATAATACTATTAATAATAACAACAATAATCATAGTAAGAATTATAATAATAGTGATAATAGTAATAACAATAATAATAACACTAACAATGATGATGGAAATAATAATAGTAATAATAGTAATAATAATAATAATGATAGCAGCAATAATAATAACGATGCTAATAATAATAATAATATCAATGATAACAGTAATTATAATAACAATGATATTAATAATGATAATAATAACAATGATAATAATACAATAATAAGGATAATAATGATAAAAATGATAACAACAATGATGAGGATAATAATGATAATAACAATAACAACAATAATAATAGCGATAATAATAACAATGGAAGTAATGATGATAGTAGTAATGATGATGATAATTGTAACGATTTTCATAATGATGATAACTATGATGATACACTGATAATGATAATGATGATAACAATTATGATAGTACCACTACTACTACTACTACTACTAATAGTAATAATGATATCATTATTATTACTGATAATGATAATGATAATAA